TACAGCTCCATCCTGTTGACACTATAACAGCTTCATCCCGTCTCATAAAAGGGTGGTCGGGAAGCCTAGTGGATAAAGTGTTAGGTCGTCATGCCGAAGACCCAGGTTGACAAGTATAACAATATCTACTCTACTGTATAAACATTGCCTCCTACTTGTATATATACTTGCCTACTACACTCTGTAAATCACTTGCTTTATAACGGTGTTAGAACCTACACCGAAACGTCGCTCTTAATTCTAATAAAGAAGTTGTTCATCCATAAATTCTTATCCTTACTTAGTACTCCAACTTCTAAATGCCTATCGAAGAAGTCACATATTTACATCCGGCAACCGTAACATACTCTGCATTATATCTGTCAATCACAGATTCAAATATATACAATGAATTTGAATGGTAAGTTCATGATCACCTTTGTGTCCATGACCATTTTCCGACAGTAATTACAGCTATCAATCCCGCCGGTAATCCACCTAAAACACGATGGAATATTTCCAAGGCCAATTGGCTATTGTTTCAGGCCATCTGTACTGACAAATTGCAACAAGACCTTTGTCTGGATGTTCATGACCCAATTCAATTGTTCTCCGATCAACAATCGATCAGTTTGGTTTTTAGAAACCAACAATCTAATCAGTGATATCCAATGCGGTTTTCGTAAAAACCAAAGTACAATTGACCATTTGGTTCGTTTTGAATCATTTATTAAGAATCCTTTTTTTTAAATAACATGCTGTATCTATCCTTTTTTAATCTTGAAAAAGCTTATGATACTACTTTGAAGCATGGTATTTTAAAAGATTTACATGACTTTGGTTTAAGAGGCTGCTTGCCTCAATTTGTAGCGCAGTTTTTAACAGACAGACAATTTCAAGTTCGTGTTGGATCAACACAGGGCTCACATTGTCTCACATTGTTTAGTATAAAAATAAATAGTTTATTTGAACAATTAAATGACTCAATTGATTGATCATTGTTTGTGGATGACGTTAATATTTCATGTCGTGGTAAAAATATGCGTACCATTGAAAGACAATTACAGTTGTGTCTTGATAAAATTCATTAATGGTGTCTTGAGAATGGATTCGCTGTGCAGAGTTGCCTCCCTTGGGCACGCCAGAAACCTATGATTGTGATTGAATCCCGTTTCGCCCCGATTATGTTTCTAGGTTTGTCAGCACCATACCCGTGCTCGTAGGTTTCACTGAAGTGGTAAACGTCTGAGATTTGCATCACTTCGGGCTTTCCTCCCACATTAAGCTGACACGCCATGGTATAACTGGAATACTGCTAAAAGCGGCGTTAAACCCAACTCACTCACTCTATTTTTACAGCTGATGCCAACGATATCCTTACAGCCTTAGTATTAAACAAACAAAAAATATAAACAATTTTTCATCTTTTCTGATTCTTTATCTTGTTTATAAATCACAAAAAAGTCTGTTCTAATCATCCAATTATTTTAGGTATTTTAAAACTTTAAAATGATCTTTCAACTGGCCAATATGACATTTTTTGGTTGGTTGCCCAGTCATGTGGGCATAAAAAGCAACACAATGGCTGATGCTGCTGCACTCAACAAATCTAAGACACCGCTTCTATTTCCATATACTGATTATAAACCTGTGATCAGATGTTACATCCGAGATCTTCTGCACAAGAAGTGGGACACCAAAGTAGGTATCAATAAATTACATTAAATTAAGCCAACTGTCCGTTACACCTACTTGGATTGTCAGTCCAGATTTGAAGAGGTCATTTTACGACGATGTCGTATTGACATTCAAGATATACACACACATATCTATTAAAAGGTAAAGATCCTCCGTTTTTTATCCCTTTTGATGAGAGAATCAGTCAAGCACATACTGCTTTACTAAACTGATTTTGCCATTACAAGGGATCACTATTTCAAAGTTTCATCCATGAAGGATCTTTTTATTAATCTAAGTTCTCTTTTAATCATAGGTTTTTTTAAAGAAAAAGAATTAATTGATAAATTTTGATGTACATAGATATGTTTTACGAAATGGTCGTATCCTAGATTGTTTCTGGCTGTGCCCTCGAGGGGGGTTGAATTGGCATAAAATTATTGTCCTCTGGAGAGGGTGTCATAAGACCAAATCATTCACAGCAATATATTTACAATATTAGAGCCTCATCCTGTCAGCAAAATCACAGCAATATATTTTAGACCTTCATTGTATCAGCGATATTAAAGCTTCGTCATGTCATCAATATTAGAGCGTTATCATATTTACAATATTACAGCTTCGTCGTGACAAAATTACAGTTACATCATGTGACAAAAATCACAGCTTCATCACATAACAAAATCATAGCTTAATCATGTGACAAAATTACAGCTTAATCATGTGACAAAATCACAGATTAATCATGCGACAAAATTACAGCATTATCATAATTACAATATTACAGCTTCAACAGCAATACTAGTATTTCAGCTTCGTCATGTCAGCAAAATTAGAGCGTTATTATATTTACAATATAACAGCTTCATCGTATCAGCAATATTACAGCTTCGTCATATCAGCAAAATTACAGCTTTATCATATTTACAATCTTACAGCTCCTTCAAACACTACAGCAATATCATATGATAAAATCACACATTCAACAATTGACAAAATCACAGCTATGTTATGGGACAAATCACCTATTTGATCAGTTCGTACAAAATCACACCTTCATCACATGAAAAACATCACAGCTTCATCACGTGACAAAATCACAGCTTCATCACGTGACAAAATCACAGCTTCATCACGTGACAAAATCACACCTTCATTACGTGACAAAATCACAGCTATATTATGGGACAAAATCACACATTCATCACGTGACAAAATCACAGCTTCATCACGTGACAAAATCACAGCTTCATCACGTGACAAAATCACAGCTTCATCACGTGACAAAATCACAGCTATGTTATGGGACAAAATCACAGCTTAATCACGTGACAAAATCACAGCTTCATCACGTGACAAAATCACAGCTTCATCACGTGACAAAATCACAGCTTCATCACGTGACAAAATCACAGCTTCAGCAAATTTGATCAGTTCGTACTCAGAAACTTCCCTTGTGTTAAGAAACCAATCTGCATATTCTGAACCAGGATCCCATATGTTGTTAGAAGGAAAATACTACATATTAAAACGTTCCAAAAATCCACCAAAAATGCAAATAGAAAAAAGAATAGTCCATTGTACGATTCCGACTATATCATACACAGCTTTTTGAAAGCGTTACTAAGGCCTTGAGTGTTGTAACTCTGCTCTTGGAGCGAGAGTGACATGGCACTCTTTTAGTACAGTTAATATTGTCTATAACGCCTGAGTCAGGGTTTCCTGCTCTCTGTCGTCCATTGCTAGATCATCTTTGTTGTCTTGTGGAATGAATGCTCTGGCCAATCTCTGGATAAAAGTTGGTAAACAAAAAGTTCGTAATTCAATATGTGCATGCATGATTTTATTGCAAGTATAGTTCAAGTATTGAATTTTCTCACGTATAAGGTATTCGTTGTTTTGGAGGGTGTAACATTAAACATTAGAAGACATTGAACATCGCAAAATCAGCATTCAGCCACAAAATACCAACTACAAAACACAAAACACAGGGAGTTTGTTGTTTAACGCCGCACTCAAAAATATTCTAGCTATATGACGGCGGTCTGTAAATAACTAAGTCTGGACCAGACAATCCAGTGATTGCCAACATGAGTATCGATCCATGCAATCGGGATACGATGACATGCATCAACCAAATCAGCGAGCCTGACCACCCGATCCCGTTAGTCGCCTTTTACGACAAGCATAGGTTGCTGAAGACCAAGTCTAACCCGAGATGTTCTCTTTAATAGTATACAGCCGGACATATAGTCGAAATATAGAACAGATCCTTTCAGCACTTTGTGTCTTGGAAAACATAAAAGAGTAAGTTTGTTGCCCCTCTTTCTCTTTGGGCCAACTATGGGTTGTTGTTTTTTCGCTACTGAAATGACTTTTTTCCACGATAACTTGAAAATGTTACCTGCTTGACTGATGTCCCATCTGACTTCAAGACAGAGTAGACCATCCAACCTGGAGTGGGTAGAACTATGGCTACAGATATAAGCCAGCCAATCACAGTTGCCCATTCAGGATAGAAGTAGTCACCATATTTTGGAGGACGGTACACGTAGAAGGCGTATACCAGTATAGTCTGGAAAACGATTTTTTAATAAGTCCTTTATACTATTCTCACAAGCACAGCCCATCACATAAACTTCAATAAATGCCGAACAAGATGGGATATTTCGCGAACGAGCTAAATGATTCAGAGATTGTCGTTCGTGAAGGTTGTAGTTCCTCGCAAAAGTTATTCTCTCCATTAACTTGTAGACGAGCAATATATATACATATATTACATGATGATACAATAAAGATAATGGACTGTATTATGCCACAGAGTGAGTTTGACCAATCAGAGAGAAGAACTACTAACCCCCTTTGAGACCGCATACCGTCAGTAACAGCACTCTTGTTTCCAACACCCATCTCACATATTTCACATGAAAATTCTACACAGCTTTGTGCTTTTAAATCATTAACTATAACGTGCAAGGACATTAATTTTTTTTCCAAAAATAACGTTCGTGACATTTTTTATAAAGAAGTATAGTTAAATGTCAACACCGTTTGGTCTCTAAGGTTTGAAGAGTAGTCTCCCCTTGACCCGTAACGTCAACGATTGTTAGTGTCAAGTTTCGACTTTGACATGACGCGTGATATAGGTAGTGTAAACTCTTCTGCATAATGAATCCGTTGTGGTATTTTTAGTTGTCGTATACTGTGTCATATTAGGTTAGCAGGATATTTGTCTACACACCTAATATGACACTGTATACTGTATCATAAAGACACCATAATTAATGCTATATCGCCAGCAACTAAAGTAATGCTGTCGTACCAGAGACCGTGGGGACTTACAGTCACTCTTCCACCTGCACGGTACACATCATCCCTCTAGCTGCTTGGGATTATTGGCAAGAATGACCATAGATTAAAACGGACAAATACACTAACATGATGGGTAAGCACAAACATAACTGAAAAGGCGTGGAACACTCTCAGTGGACAATACCCTACGAGGGCACAGCAATTTACACTCTCATTCAAATTGCTTTGAAATATTATGTATTTGCATGAATGTTTGCAGCGGTTAAAAGAACCGTAAGTGATGTTGCGTTGACATATTTAGCCCCTGTGTTGTAAAACACAACACAGTCAAGTACAAAAAGCATGTCTTGTGTCTTTACAAGGGATAGACATGGATGATCCTCACCTTTCAACAATTAGTCATGTGGATTACGAGAATGGCCAATCGTAGAATGGGCTTCTCAAATCTGGACTGAAAACCTAAGTAGGTGAAACCAATAGTTGGTTTAATTTCAGGACCGACATGGGTACGATGTGTGAAGCCCATTTCTGGTGTCCCCCGCCGTGATATTGCTGGAATATTGCTAAAAGCGGTGTAAATCCATACTCACTCACTCACTAATTTTAGGAATTGTATTAATATCTATTTTGGTGTCCTTTTTGTTTGCATTAGATCTCTGATGTAACACCTAACAACAGGCTTATAATTTCTGTATAGGATAAGAAAGAAAAAACGTACACATGTTATCTCTACAAGGTCAATTCAATGAAGACATATAGTCGCGATATGGCTGAGATTTAGCGGTCGCAACGTTACATTTGAACTCCCATATTGTTGTCAACCTACTGTTCTGATGGCATAATGTTCTTACTTGTGACGTCATAAATAGTAATTGTGTAACAAAATCGTAATGGATCCAGGCGACGTCATATTTCTACTGACCAGTCAGCATTAGGAAGCACCAAGATGGGAAAAGGGTTACTATCGGATACTTGAACGTGGAACGACATCGTTGTCAAGCAAGTAATCTGATGATGTAATGTGTTTTACTTTATGACATCGTAGATACTGATGGTAATGGAGGAACGTCATATAGCTTCAACTGACCATTCACAATCAGGAATCACTAAGGTGGGTTATTATTGGAAAGTCATGATACTCGGTCAAGAAATAGTTGTAACGCCTCACCATAAGCAGGCCAGGAGTGATGTACTTTATGAGGAACGTCAACCACCTGGGAATAGTTTTACCATACATCTCCACTGTGCACATGTCAAGTCTGATCACACCTGTAACGAAGACGTAGACAATGTTATAGACAAGACAATATGCACATGGATTAAACGAGTGCGCCGGTTGACAGGTGTCGTCATTAGATTGTTGTCTCTTTTCTGTTTCAGATACCATCAGTTACATAAAGATTTGGCAGACGTTTGTTTTATTAAACAAATAGTAGTTATGCCGCTGATGTCTGCAGAACGGAGCTTGTATTGTAATATAATTTGGTCACGTGTTACTTTAGGTCTGCCAGCCTATCGGTATCGCACCATTGCTTCCTTTATTGACATTGAAATATGATTTGAAATATGAATTTTACGAAACTCTTTTCATCTATCATTTCTGGAAAAAGTAGTGATTGATTTCAAGGAGGTCTTACCAACCACCCAGGCCAGTACCAGACACTCCACCACCCCAAACAACATCACGGGAGGGACAGCGGAGTACCAGTCTACGAGGGTCAACAGGTAGATACCACCCTGCGAGGAGAACGTATACACGATACCAATGGAGAACGTTGAAGATAAAGGTATTCATGTGAACACGCAAGATATATTTCAGCTGAATAAGAGATTAAGTTGCAAACGTTTGATCAGGGTTACAATTCAAGGCCTTGGTAAAGCTTTTAAAATGTTTCATTCAAGACATTTGGAGAACATTTCGAAATCTGACACATCCGTAACCAAAATGTCCGATGCAATTCCCGTGTGAAGACTTGAAGTGCCTTTGCATGTGTGTGCGGCGGGTGCCACCGGTTAGACAGAATACGCTCACCTGGTGTCATCACTATTTGATAGGGATTAAGAATTGCTTATTATATGTCGGAATTGACTCGTCTTCTTAGCATTATAGAAAGGTGTTGTCACTTTTGTTTAATTAATTAAATGTAATTGGTTATTATTTAACAATGCACCAACAAAATTCAACGTTGGTAAAAAATGATACAAGTTGCCCATACGCATTTGTTGCACAAGATACTATGTAACGTGGTGATAAGAGCATACATCACTCTTACACATATGTACTTAACATGGACTGGTTTATAAGTGGGCAAGCGAGTCCAAATGTAATGCTCCGTTGGCAATATATCAGCCACAAAGTGACAACAGTAGGGTAAATAGGAATATAGAACACATGTGATAGATAAAAATATAACATATAACACATAAAGAAATGTCAACTACGCTAGTCGCATGTTATTTAAAAAATATTCGGTTTATGAAAAAGACCGACTTCTTAAAGAATTTTAAAAATGCATAGATTATCCGAACCATTGTGGCAATAAATTTCATGAGAATCGAAATTTGCTGTTGGTATGATCAAATTGGCTTTACACGTTTGCTGCTGAAGATGTCATGTCATGTGGGTGATCACCCTTAATGGGTTGTGCTAAAAATAGCTCATATACATAATGCGCATTATCATGGCCTTATTATAAGTGACCAGTGAATAGGAATACCTGTGTAGTGTACGGGAGAGTCAGAAGGAAAGAGGGAATAAAGACGAGAAGGAGAAGCAGCCACCGGTGTCTGGTCAGCTTAGGGAACTGGTCAGAAAGTGTCTCCGACAGTATCTCCAAACTCGGCATCTGTGAAACAACAAGAACCTCGACAACTGACCGTTTCATAACTGTAAATACGCAACAAATATATAGATATATAGATTGTTCCCAGTTCCATGTTCCCTGCCAGCAGATAAATAATTGATCATTATTCATTTACTTCCATTTTAGATTCATTTCCCCTAAGCTCAAGTCATTCAAAGAATATTTATGTTTACCACCGTTTTAAGTCGCATTTTAGATTGATGACTAACATTGCGTGCAATCGCCAAAAACTGGAGTGATGGTATAAATCATGCTAGGGCACGGTGCAGGAAGCAGAAGTCCCACCGTCCCTAGTATGGTTGCGCAGTTTGGTTACTGGCGATCTATAGCCCATTTCTGTATTGTGCTGTTAAATGATATCTTATGCTTTTACATGGTCTCAAACTAGTTCTAAATAACATATTCGATAATCTAGTTATTGTACTGTCCTTCGATGACAGGATTTAGTAGATCTAACTCTATATGTTATTACTGTATAATTTTGCCTCGTCACAAAATGACCGAAATATTGCCGATGTGACGTTATATTTTAACTCACTCACTCACTAAATTGATTTGTTTTGTTTGTAATCTCTTTCTTGAAAATGTTCTTATATTTCTATATTTCTGTATCAAGGTATATCTGTATGGATCAGGGCCAAAACAATATAATCTATAATAGTTCTTTTTACCGTTGTATCAAGGCCCAACGTCATCATCATCACAAAGACCAGCACCGACCACAACTGGGGCAAAGGGAGATAAGTCACTGCTTCCGGTAACACTGAGAATGCCAGATTCAGACCTGAAACGAGTTGAGAGAGAATGAGTTGGTTGTATTATCATATTACAATCCTCCTACACTGACATTCAATACACTATGTAAACAGGTTTAAGTATAAGTGCTGTCTCGTGAACATCTGGGTAAGTATTGATCTTCAACAACCATAGTCCGTGATGCGTACAGAATACCTTTACTTAATTTGAAAAAATGTTTCCATGTGTCCGTAATACCTAATGCGTAGTGACCCGTGAACATTCCGGGGTAGAATAGGTCTTCAGCAACCCATGCTTGCCGTTAAAGGTGACTATGCTTGTTGTAAGAGGCGAATAACGGGATCGGGTGGTCAGACTCGCTGACATGATTCATGCATGTCATGGTAATCCAATTGCACTGATCGACGTTCATCAATATCAACCACTGGATTATCTTGTCCAGATTTCATTATTTACCGACCACCGTCACATGGATGGAATATTATAGAGTGCGGCGATAAACAAAAAAACAAACAAACAAAATGCTACATAATTAACACAAACAAACCTGATGACTGGAAGTCGTCCATGTCGACCCCGGTCACGTAAGCCATGTGCCCCAACACCGTGAAGATAGACAGTCCACAGAAGATGGTGATCAGAGGGTCCACGATGCAGGCGATCAGAGCCAGTCTGGTAAAAAGATGTCGGTATACTGTGACATGAATCTGCTCTTTTGAAACTCCGCTTAATTTCCCACAGTAGTAACTACGGCACTGTAGCTCACCTGGATATGTAGTCAACAGCTTAAAATATAAAATAAAGACATTTTAAAACTTATATATACAAATATATAAATACATAAATAAACTAACACTATAATGGAATGTGTTTGTTTGTTGTTTTACGCTGCTTTGCGCAATACACACCCCTCAACCAAACTCAAAGACGTATCGAATTCGGTTAAGAATTGGTCCCAGTGGAGGCATCGTAAGATGCGTCTAAGTGGATCGGGAGTTCATGCTAGGTGACTCTTGGTTGTCGTTAAACAACACACACACACACACACACACAAAGAGAGAGAGAGAGAGAGAGAGAGAGAGAGAGAGAGAGAGAGAGAGAGAGAGAGAATCCCAAAGAATATTCTTTATGTAAACAACAGATACTGGTCCAGATAAACCGGTGATATAAATGTTGCGAGTGCGGGTCAAATATAACAAAAATCACACAGGTCTGTTTAAATACACACCTGTAGCAGTTGCTGTTTGGCTGGTTGTGACTGGACACTGTATTCGCAATCCCCTTACTGGTCCCCATGGAATGAAGAGCGTAACCACAGGCTTCGATCCACATCTGTGGAGAAGATGAAGCACAATGCATACAACATACGTCCTGATATATCTGTAACATTGCTAAGTTTGTGGTTAAACAAGACACTAACAACAACAAAGAACACTGAAAACGTCTCACATATATAAACATGTTGAAACTAGTAACTTATTACATCGTTGTTGAAAATAAAGTTCTGAACCTACTGTTGGGCTTTTCAGCTTTCCAAAGTCCGGCTTGATCATGTACAGAAGTCCGTCTAGTGCCCCTGGCAACAAGGACCCACGGATGAGTATGACGGTACACAGGATGAGGGGTAACATAAATGTCACGTACACAATCTGAAAGTGAAATATACCTTTTTTTAATTAAATTTAATTAAATTAAGAATTTGTAAATCGCATTTTCCAATTAACTACTGCGCTTTGACCATGATTGGTCTTGTCAAAGGCTCTCTTGAAGAGACAGCCGTCGAGTGTCTTTTTCAAATTGTCAGATTTTCTGTCTCTGTGATACTTTGTGGCAGATTGTTCCATAGCAATGGGCCAGCATGTTGAAATGACATATCGCCATATGTTTTTGTGCGTGACTTTGGCACCACTAGGAGATTTTGATTGGAGAACGTGCAGGCTTGTGTGATACTATCTGTTCCTGTAAGTATGCAGGAGCCAAACGATGCATTTTCCTAATTTTCCTTTCTACATATCCGCATGTAGTTCCCTTGATCACTATTAGATTCGATATGTCCCAACTTTCTAATTCATCATGCGAAAAGCCGTTTACTACATCAGATGTCATTAGCGTAATCCTGGAAACATAAATCTTGTGACAAACCATTTCAAGGAAAATGATCAGTTAACAAATAAACTGAATTCAAATTAACGTCAATTATGTATTGAAAAAATATCCTTTCTTAAAAACACCAATGAAGGTTAAGAATGAATGGAAAATGAATACGGTGTATTTCCGATCAATTGTTTAACAGTACCTTCCCCGTCACTCGAATTCCTCTGAGCAGCATGAAATACATGGCTACATAGGTCAAGGCCAGACATCCAAACAATGGCCACCGAATGGAACCTGCATGGTCGAGACCATTCGAGATTTCCAGTGCATTAAATCTGTAACAGATATGTTCAATATCGACACGTCCAGTGCATTAAACCTGTAACAGATATGTTCAATATCGACACGTCCAGTGCATTAAACCTGTAACAGATATGTTCAATATCAACATGTCCAGTGCATTAAATCTGTAACAGATATGTTCAATATCGACACGTCCAGTGCATTAAACCTGTAACAGATATGTTCAATATAAACATGTCCAGTGCATTAAATCTGTAACAGATATGTTCAATATCAACATGTTCAGTGCATTAAATCTGTAACAGATATGTTCAATATCGACATGTCTAGTGCATTAAACCTGTAACAGATATGTTCAATATCGACATGTCCAGTGCATTAAATCTGTAACAGATATGTTCAATATCAACATGTCCAGTGCCTTAAACCTGTAACGAATATGTTCAATAATATTTAACAAAACGTATTTGATCAGGGTAAAACAGCTAACTGCAGTTATTACAGGCCAGTAGGGATTCAGATATGGAATACAACATTAGCAACCTAGGCGAATAAGTGGATCATTTTTAACCACACATAGCAAAATATTATACTAGTATATAAACCAGATTTGCTATGTGACAAAAATTGATTATTTCCTTACCCACGCAATCTATCTTAGAAACAATTTTGTTATCTTAAAAGTTAAATGGATATTGCATACCACCAGTTCAAAAATAACTGGTTGAGTATTTTTGCCGAAAGATATGCAAATTGTTTGTAAAAATTAGAGAGTGCTTTTGGTGCAGCGCGGGATATCACCAAGGCTCAACTATTGTGCGTAACCTGCCTCCAGAATTCTTCAGTGGCACTCGCAACACTGACGCCATCAGTAGATCCATTCAGGTGACCCGACTGTGTCGTGTTAATGGCAGCTCGCAGTGGAACCATGCCATTCACCGTGGTGTTCATCCCTTGGTGCCCATACAGCGTCGACTCCACGCAGCTGGGCGTGTTCCAGGGGTTGCCACAGGTGGACCAGGGCAGGGGGTTGAAGAAGGAGTTGAAGAAGTAGTAGAGATACCAGGAGAAGTACATGGACGTGTACATGGCGTACACCCACGACACCAACGCCGACCCAAAACCCAGACCTGATCAAACGACACAGATTATCGATGACGGATCGACTAATTGTTTTCATCTGGGATATTGAGACAGAATAGGTTTGCAATACGTATTCCAAAAAAAACATACAAACATTTTTTAACCCTAAATGTGCCTTTTAAAACATCAAGCAAACGATTTATTTTGTGGAGTAAAACCCGAGAATTATCTTTTCGAGCATTTGAGGAAACAGAATATTTATTTATTTTTAAACTATACATGTAGGCCCCTTATAATGTGCTGTAATGACTGATTGAACAATAGTCAATCTGAAAATGATACAAATGCACCTTGAAGCTGTCCATTCTGTGTTTATTTTATTTCATGCTTGTTGTTCAACGCCACGCTCAGCAATATTCCAGCTGTCTGTAAATAATGTAATCTGTACCAGACAATCCACCAATTTAGCGATCCTGACCACCCGTTCCCGTCAGTCGCCTCTTACAAGCATAGTCACCTTTTACGACAAGCATGGGTTGCTGAAGTCCTGTTCTACCCCGATCGTCACGGGTCTTATTCTGTGTTTCATCAAGTGTGATCATCATTAAGGCAGAAATTAGATGCAACAATTGTTCATACTGAAGACAGCGTATTTACAAAAATAACCTTACTAAATTAGAGTGAGAAAGCGAGTAGGTTTTACACTGCTTTTAGCAATATTCCAGCAACATCACGGCGGAGGACACCACAAATGGGCTTCACACATTGTACCCATGTCGGGAATCGAACCCGGGTCTTCGGCATGACGAGCGAACGCTTTAACCACTAGGCTACCCGACCGCCCATACTAAATAAGAATACTTTTGGACCGACTGTACATGTTTTACTCTTATCACCTCTATTCACCATATGATGTGACCATAATTGTGACACTGACTGAAAAGGTTTACATTTCCGTGCAGTGATGTGTAGTTGGATTCTGATCCAAGCGGTGAGACCAAATTTGTTAATTTGTTTTGTAATTAAAATTACATATGGCTTATTTTTGATACCTTAAACACACATGAAACCCTTATTGGACTACAACACCAATACAAAATGTCATGTCAATCAAATCCCATTACAAAACTTCGAAACAGAAAAGTAATAGAATTATTACTTAAGGCCATCTATCTCAAGTCCTTTCCGACAAAAACATACACAAACACAAAATGCTCATTTTTCCACCTAAAACGCTTCACGATGTTCACCTATTACTTCCTTCTCGCAGACAAAAAAATTAGTAACATAAAAATAGTGAAAACTCTCCCGGTAAATAAAACTAATGAGTGCATCTTAATTTACACGAAATAAATTTATATAAAATCATCAAAATGTAAATACCTTTCATGGCTGGACAAAATTTCCACACCTCAACAGGACCCCTCTGGTAGTACTGCCCGATGACGACCTCCAGGAAGTATAGCGGGAGAGAACAGAGACCCACAAACACCAGGTAGGGAATCAGGAAGGCTCCTGAGAAAAGGACCACATTCATCTGTATGTGAGTAGGACTTTCCCATCGAGTTTAAGGATTACTCTGTGTTGGGAATTGAGCCTCCAACTTGGGAGTGGCGAGCGAAGGCTTTATCTTATAAGCCACCAAATGTCTCATTTGATAACAAGAATATTCAGAATACAGTTAACGACGGTATAACGAACTAAAAGGGACCACTGATTTTAGTTCGTTACATCCTTCAGCTTGATGTAAACGTAGTTTACTGTATATATGCAGGTTTCATTCGGGTAGGCTATATGCAAGTTTCATTTCAAACTTTTCCATCTTGCAATTTAAACCACAAGAGATTTGTAAAGTAATTTGAATAAGGATATAGTACTGATGTCGTCTTTCAAAAGCATGATTGTATATTTCTTGTTTATATTCATCTCGGAAATTATGAATAAATGGTTGCAACTTCAAAATTTAAGGTGTCTATCCTGTTGGTGTTGTCATTCATCCTGTGACACCTGCATGCGTATTGATCCTGTATACATACCTCCGCCATTCCTTGCACAAAGATAAGGGAACTTGAGCAGAGTTCCCTCCCCTACACTGTATCCCAACAACGCGACGATGCCATCCACTCGATGGCCCCACGTCTCTCTTTTGTCTGCAAGCATTATATGCATCACATCTTTAGAGAGCACTTGCTTCTTTGTCTTGTGTGGTGTCAGTGAGTTTCGTTTGATCTGTTTCCTTATGCATATGAATCGGAATGTCTGCTCGGATTGGCAAAATAAAAACCTGTGAGGCTCAATTCATGCTCCAGGTATATAAAAGACTGATATCTTTCAAAAATTATTAAGTAGCATAGTCCCTTCCACTGACTTAGGCAACTGAACTTGAAATAAAAGTGACCATTGGAACCGCCTCATCAGTTTCATAATTAAAATTTAGTGATATGCATACAGATTCAGAGTGACGAAGTATTCACAAGACTGTGAGGGAGCAACCATTTCATTTTCAGGAAAGGATTTGGGTATGTGATCAACTTTTGTTTTCTCAATGTTTAGGAGCTCAGTCATGTTTTGCAAAATAAACGTGATCATTATTTTAGAAGAATAAAAGTAATGAACTGAATTCTTTTTACTCTTTAATGTACTCTTCGGATGATTTGTCATTTGCTTTCAGTAGACATCCGTCGATGTCAGGGGTTATGGATCTGCACTTCTGGTTCTGGAAATTCAGGTGACACTGACACAGCAGTTATAGCTGTACAGGCTAACTCGGGAATAGCAATCCGTGTTGCAGTTGCTGCACTTATAGATGTAGTCGTACTCTGGCTTTTCTTTGTGTTTCCTTGGCGACATCCTGGAGTTTCGCTTCACCTCTCATGAGTCCTCTGCTGAGCTCATGCTTCCATGACCCGTGGTCAGTGGCGACTTCATCCAACTTCCCAGCCTCATGTCCAGCCCCTAAAATCCCTCGGAAGAGTCATTTTATGGGCAGTAGCAGCTGTTCGTGACTGGAGCTGGTCGTAGTAGTCGTACTTCACGTCCTGTGTGGAGCAGAGGGTGGGAAGGGCATAAGCTGATGGAAGTTGACAGCCATGTCGGATGTGAGGAGTTCTAGTTTGAGAAGTATCTCCACACTCACCAGGCTCTATCATTCTGATCAGTGAGTTCTTGTCAGCAAAGTCGACACCTTGCACTCTGGTTTGATCAGCAGAATTTCCCTCCCAGGAGAACCTGTAGTCTCTCTCACAGAGAGTAAGACATGTATCCTGCAGCGTAGGGATGTCCTCTTACAGAGTTCATTCTGGATGACATTGGGCTTAAGGAGCCATATTCAAGCCGTTCCAGCCTTTGATGTCTACGTTTCACGAGTATTGAGGTACAATGGACCAGGCTCTTTCTTTATCTTTCTAAGAAAGTCATACTCTTGCTCAAAAAGTGTTGAATTCAGGGTTACAAAATTCAAGGTACTAGAAAAGCTTTCAAAATGTTTTATGGTAGGTCATTTTCAAATTTTACGGATCAGTGACCAAAACGATGTGCGATGACATTACCAATTTTGACTTTGTTCCCATATGAGCAAGCACAAACTTCAAACCTACTGACCGAAGAGTCCGTTATCGCCTCCAATTGGCGGGTCTCAACAGTCGTTTTTTCTGTGGTAGACTACAGAATGACAAAACAGCATGACAGATATGGTTGGGGATCTGTGATGATGTGGGGCAGGATCACGTTTAACAACAAGACTGACCTCATTCGCAGGAATCGAACCCTTCTATTCATGGTGATGGCCCAGATCGTTAATCACAAGGGTAGCCCACTGCTCAAAGAATAAAGTAGTGATCAATTTGGAAATGTGTATTCAAACTACCATAATGTGTTTCGCCCTACCGTAAACTTCTACATAATGTGAGCACAACCCCTTCATATATAGGCGCCAAAGTGTTTCGTACGGTAGGAATACTCAGAATAATCAGCCCAATATAACAAGTTTCACAGAGGTCAGATACAAGGTATTGACTTCAGTTCTAGTTCACATACCTTTGACAACAGTCACCTTTTCTTGGTCTCTGTTGGACATGCTGGAATCTGTGGTTGGTCTTGTGGGTTTTGCCTGTAGAATAATTTGTCACGATATATTAGTTCACAATGATATTCATACGTCATATGAAGGAGGACAATACTTTCCAGATATATACATAGCTTAACGCCGGAGTGAGCATTGATCAAGCTATATGACTGCGACCGGATAATAATAAGGTCTGGACAAAACAAGTCAATGTTTGATATTTTGAGCAACGTCACCTCCGTCAGGGAACGGTAACATGCAATCCACGAAGACATTGAACCGATATTCCCGACCATTTAATCTCCTCTTGGGCGCACGTGTGGCCTAGTCGTCTAAGGCGCCGCTATTCGCTGTGCAGAGTTGCGTCCCTTGGGCACGCCACCTATGATTGTGGTTTCGAATCCCAGTTCAGACCGATTCTGTTCCTAGGTTTGTCAGCACCATACCCGTGCTCGTGGGTTGCAACGAAGTGGTAAAGGTCTGAGACTTGCATCACTTCGGGCTTTCCTCCCACATTAAGCTGACACGCCGTGGTATAACTGGAAAACTGTTAAAAGCGGCGTTAAACCTATCTCACTCACTCACTCACTCACTCACTCACTCACTCACTCACTCACTCACTAATCTCCTCTTACGGCACGCAAAGTTTATTGTGGAAGTCTTCTAACCAAGAATCCTCACGGAGCCCATAACTAAATTAATAAAGCTGCAAAACTCTTCCCATAGTCATAGGAAATTTGCAGTGATACCAGGTGTTCGTGAAAAGGTGAGCGTATCCCGCCCCACCGGTGGCACGTGAAGATCCGGGGTAGAAAAGGTCTTCAGCAACACATGCTTACCGTAACAGGTGACAAGCGGAATCAGGTGGTCAGGCTCGCTGATTTGGTCGAGGTATGTGTTAAAAAATGTCTTCTAGAAGGAAATATTTAAAAAATATACTTCAGACACCAAATGTATTATTTAACAATTATAAGAAATATTTTAACACATATCACGACATCATGAGCATCGATCCACGCAATTGGGATACGATGACATGCATGAACCAAGTCAACGAGCGTGACCACCCAATCGCCTCTTACGACAAGCATAGTTGACTTTTACGGCAAGCATGGGTTGCTGAAGGCTATTCTACCCCGGATCTTCACAGGTTATATAAACGTGAGGAAGTGTGTCATTTACGTATTTAGGTATTATCCGGGCTGGAATCACATACACAGTATGGATCTGACGAAGACGAAGGGTTCTCAACCAGCATCAGCGTATTGGGCAGACCCATACTCTAGTGCTTGTTCCGAGAGAGAACGAGAACACGTGCACAACAGTTAGCTTGAGAAACAGAGTTATCCACGATGGATTCAATAAACTGACGTTCGAGTTGCACATGCCCAACGCAAAGTGAGACTAGAGTGTAGCTGGGTGTAATGATAGCTGACCTGGAAACAGCTGATCAAAATAAGAAGGATTTGAGTGAGTGTGGTTTTATGCCGCTTTAAGCAATATTCTAGCAATATCAAAGCGGGGACACCAGAAATGGGCTTCACACACTGTACCCATGTCGGGAATCGAACCCGGGTCTTCGGCGTGAAGAGCGAACACTTTAACCACTAGGCTACCCGACCACCCCAAGAAGGCTTTGAAACAGATCCCAGTTTCTTTACGGATACACATAGATAATGTTTTGTTCCAACCCCAAGTGGACACCTAACCCTTAGTGAAACTATGAATACTTAGGGTTGCAACTGCAACCCCTATTGTAAACATGTGAGCACTGAGCGTTGCATCTGCAACTGTTCACAAGTGCCACTGAAACATTAGGCGTTGATATTGCAACCGCTTGTGTTAACTAGTGAACACAAAGGACTGATGCTGTGCATACATCGTGCAGCTGCAACCCTCAGCGTTCGCATTTGTCGGATGAGACGTGAAACTAGTTTTCCTAACTGACTCCACTATTTTTTTTAAAATGTAATTTGATTTAAGACTTTCAAAAAATGATAAATTTCACTATTTTTCGCAAAATACACAAATGCTGATCACGTGGTTAAATATTCATTTCTTATCCACTCTTTGTTGAACCAATTTATTTTAACACAAAATCACCCACAAACAGGTAACGTTTTACAGACTGTTGCAGGAATGAGTGATGGTCAAATAGGTATAATCAAACAAAAAATACAGTCCTTTCAATTTTCAAATACATAATACATCAATATATTTTTGGGGGTCTCTCGGTTTACTACTAAAAAGGTTGAGGACTACCCGAGTCTTACATATTACTATGGTTTGTCATGCTGTTATTATAGGCAATAATCGGGTGGTTCTTAACCTTTTTCGTGGTATATTAAGTGCCTTGCGACAAGACATATCTACAAAGTTATTTGCAGTGACAAAATCAGGCTAATTTCTAAGGTCTGTGGACCCGCCTGTGAGGTACAATACTTACAAATCACTCAGCGCGTAGCAGCAGACGTTTCTCCCTCCTATTGTTGTGTCAATGTATGATTTCCCAACGTGAATAACACTGTTTAAATGCCTATTTATCCACATCAAGAATGACACATCCCCAGTACGTCCCTTGCGCTGCCACAACGTGTACTATCCAATGAGAACATGTATGTATGTATGTATGTATGTATGTATGTATGTATGTATGTATGTAAGTGTATACTTTACGTCACCATGCCATTGCGATGTTGTTTGTTTTTTGTTGTTTAACGCCGCACTCAGCAATATTCCAGCTACGCGTATGCTATTGCGAAGAAGTCCTAAACCTGCAGATGATCTTCGAAATAGACAGCAATAAGTATGCTTTTTTAGTTTGTTTGTTTGTTGGTTGTTAAACGCCGCACTGTGCCAACTTTGTGACGGCGGTCTGTAAATAATCGAGTCCAGACCAGAAAATCCAGTGATTAACATAATGAACATCGATCCACTCAATTGGGTTACGATGACATGCATCAACCAAGTCAGTGAGTCTGACCACCCGATCCATTTAGTCACCTCTTACAAGCATAGTTGCCTTTTACGGCAAACATGGGTTGCTGAAGATCTATATTCCATCCTGGATCTTAATGGGACGAAGGTCGAGTGGTCTAACATTTCCCACCGTGTGATCTATACTGTCCTTGTGTCCACGAGCAGGTATTCGGTGGTACTTGACCATTGTAGTTCTCATGATGGATCTTTTGTCGTTTTCCGTTCCTGAATCCTGAATCCGCCTAGATTGCGGAATGAGTGGGTGAGTAATGTTTGCTTAAGGCCGCATCAACAATCTTGCAGCTATTCACGGCGAGAAAATGTCTTATCTGGCCATATGGAATCAAATAAAAGTGATGCTGAAAATCACTTAAACCTCAATCAATATCACATTCAAAGGTAAAAACTGCTTGTTTAGATAAAAATCTAGATTTTGTCATACAGTTTGATTTCTTTTAAATATGCTCAATATATCAAGTGATTAGAAACTGTGATAAAAAGTTCGGGTACGGTATTAACATTTTCATCAAAGCGCTGCCTGATGAGTGCAAAATCAACACAATCAAGCAAAATGTGCTTGATAGTAATTGGACTATTGCAGGGGATACAAAAAGGTGGATCTTCACCCTTCAATAAAAATGAATGTGTAAAATAACTATGGCCAATGCAGCCTGCTGTAATACAACGTCATCATGTCGATATAGAACAGAATTGGTGTGACCTCCAATAAGTGGCTTGATGGCATGGAGCTTATTCAAAACCTGGTATTCCAATTTGTTGCCAGTGATCATTCACGTATTGTCTGATGGAAGGTTTAAGGTTTAAATTTTGTGTTTAAAGTTAACTTATTGAGCCTGGATTGCGGAAGGTCCGCGGTTAGATCCCCGCCCGCATTATACCAAAATTCGTTAAAATATAGTACTTGTTGTTACTCGGCATTAAGGAGCTTAACAAGGACTGTTCGTGGTGGAGTCAGCATACTGTGTCTCAGTTGAGTATTCATGTTAAACTGCGCATGGTATCTCAGTGGGCTAGCACTAAAATCTGCATTAGCCCGGACTGGTACAAGCAGACACACACAAACACACACACACACACACACACACACACACACACACACACACACACACACACACACACACACACACACACACACACTCGTGCATGCACATCGCTATACCGCCTGGGGGGTACAATACTTACAAATCACTCAGCGCGTAGCAGCAGACGTTTCTCCCTGGTAGTCTTGTATCAATGTGTTATTTCCCAAACGTATATAACACTGTTTCATCACCGTTCCTCAGAAGTCTGAAATGTCACCTTGCACTTGAAGACCAAGTGCCTATTTCTTCACATAAGGACTTTCACATCCCCAGTAAGTCCCTTGCGCTGCCACTATGTGTACTATCCAATGAGAACATTGCGCTGGGTAAATGGCATACATGTTCTCACTTGGATGCCCCAGTCTATACAAGCTGTTACAATAACCAGCTATTTTTGATTGTTTGATTCATAACACAGCAGGCAGCACCGACTGGTACTATTTAAATAGCCCTGACACTGGGCAGAAAAGGTCAACTGCAAACTCTCTCATGTATCAAATCCTCGAAATTTAAAACTAAAATTTGATCTATGTACGATATTTCCCAATTGTCGTTGTACATTAATAAATGCAAACGCCATAAATAATGACTCATATCATAACAAATACTAAAAAACGCGAAATCCAAACCAAAGTTTGAGCAAACCACACCTGGCAAATTTATACGAAAATGGAAGAATTTTGGGTACTTTTGGGGCACTTTCTAAGCGTCCATTTGACGCCGAAAAAGCGTCGAAGCTTGAAACGGGAAATTAATGTGAGAAGAGAACGTTATCAAGCGCTTTCATTTCTTATTTCGCACTGTCAATCAAGTAACTGTATTATCAACCGCATAATCAATACGGCGTCTATCCGTATGTTCGTTCAATTCAATGTTCAATTCAAAAGTCATCTCGTTTTGTAACGTTAGTCTGTATCCAAAATTAATGTT